AAAAGGTTTTAAAAAATTCGGGTATGCTAAAACTGGAGCTGTGATAAGTTTTTCTTTCAATCTCTCAAAAGCTTCTTGATGCATTGATGTTCAATCATATCTAACGTTCTTTCGTAGTAACAAATTTAATGGAACTGCGATTCTTGTAAATTCAGGGATAAATCGTTGATAGTAAGACACTAATCCTAAAAATCCACATAACTGTCTCAAATTTCGAGGAACAGGAAATTCTTGAACAGCTCGAATCTTTTCTGGGTCGGTTGATATTCCTTGCGCACTTGCAGCATACCCTAAAAATTTCAAATCTTTATGGGCAAAATAATACTTTTGGGGCTTAATTTTCAAACCTGCTTGCTTCAATCATAGAAATACTTCTTTCAAGTGATCTAAGTGTTCTTTAAACGATCTAGAAAAAATGTTAAGATCGTCAAGATACATGACAACAAATCTTCCACTTATGTAGCTGAAGATTTGATTCATTAAACTCTGGAACATAGCCGGGGCATTCATAAGTCCAAATAGCATAACGTTGAACTCGTAAAGTCTATATGGTGAAATAAGGCAGTCTTTTCTTTATCATCTTCGAACATCTTGACCTGCCAATATTCACTGGCTAAGTCTAATAATATGAACCAAGATGATCTATTCAAAGTATTCAAAAGTTCATCAACTCGGGTAATGGATAATTGTCTCTGACAATTACGGCGTTCAATTTTCTATAATCGATACAAAATCACATCTTTCGGTTTCGTTGCTTAACCAATACAACTGGTGACACCCACGGGCTAGTAGATGGTTGAATAATCTGCTCATCTAACATACTATTAATTTCTTCCTTGAGAAATCGCTTTTCTGCAGGAGAATATTGATACGATCATTGATGAATCGGCCATACGTCTTGGGTAGGAGTACAATGCCGAATTATATCAGTCCTGCCCAACTCAGAGATATCTTGAGCACAAAGATCAGGATTTTCTCTAAGTAACTCCAACAACTGCCTTCTTTGGTCATCTTCTACTTCCCTATATTATATTTAATATTTGAGCAGCTTTCTTTTTTATAGTAATAATCAAATAGATCCGATATAGATCGGTTGTCTTCCTCTTGTACTGAAATAAGACCTGCAACAGGTCCTCTATCGTATAATATTATTTCTTTATTCGTTTATCTAATATCTTTTTCTTTTATCATAATTTTATCCCATTCTGAGCCTAGCCTTTTTCGAACATTCTCTCTTTCATCATTAAATTCCAAGATTGCATACAGTTGCTCTTCTAATTCTTCATCTTTGACTTCCTCATCTTCTTCTTCAACTTCATCATTATCATCAATTCCAAGGTCTCTTATTCTTACAACTCGTTTCTTGTCTAACGGCATCTTGGCTAATTTTCGAAACTCAACTGGAACAACAATTTCTTTATTATCCCAGACCAAAGTCATCTCAGACCTGTTCCAATCGATGGCTGCCTTTACCTTAGCTAACCAGTTATTTTTTACAATAGCACAATACGAACCAGCATTGGTTACAACTACATCGATCAGGATTTCAACACCACCGAAATTGAATAGAAAATCAGAAATTTCTTCAATAGTATGTTTGCTCTCTCCATGGATGTTGACCATATTTACTATCGATGGCCGTTCAATTCTATACTAAGATCATTCAATAAATAGAAAGTAACAACACCTCCAGAAGACCCGCTATCGACAATTAATGGAATTACTCAGTCGTAAACCTTAGTGTCACAATATAAAGCCATTGATTTTAAGGTAGGTTGTATATTAACATTGGCTTGAGCCTTTTTACGACTTACGATTCTTTTCTTTTGTAAGGATCGTGATAATTCTTGTCTTATGGATGATGTAACTCGTAACAATTGCCTGATAGTTATATTGGCAGGTTTATCCCTTACATCAGCTACTATCGAATATGGTGTGACCAAAAAAGAAATTTGGGGTAAATCATCCTCCACAATATTCCTTCGTTGAATAACAGGAACCTTCTTTTGACCCACTTTTACATCTTCTTTCTTTTTATTTACTTTAGGCGGTTCAACCTTCTTTATCTCAAGTAGTTCAGCGAATTCGTCTTGGTTTTGGTCTTGATTTTGAGTAACCGGGTCTTGTAATTCTTGACCTTCATGATCTTTATAAACTTCTTCCATTTCTACGTCTGGATCTTTAGTACTTTCTCCTTC